TGCCCATATCTTTCTGCTAATGCCCTAAGCATGTGTTTTGCACTGTTACGGTTTTAATCCGTTTCTTATTCTTTACTATTATTTTCACAAGGTCTCCAGAGTTTGAAGAGAACAATGCATTTACTCAGCCTACTGTCTTGAATGAAAGAGCTCAGCTGAGTTCTCAGCGCTGCTGTGTAAGCTCTTTTCTTTTTTCTTTTCCGGTCCTCATTCAGCTCCCTTCCCCGTTTCTGACATCTGCTGTTCCTCCCTCAGTCCTAGCAGAGGACCTCAGCTCTTTTCTCTTAGGGAAACAAACCGTCAGATGGGGGCCGTTGTGTTATCCTCCCTCTCTCTCCCGTCTGCAAACTCATCTTTCTTACTGCCTATCCTCTCCTCTTTCCCTTCTTTCCTGGAGCCAAGTCGCGTTCTCGTCTGTCCACGGATCCTTCAGCTCACCTGGCTCTGTGTGGGCTCTCCTCCCCGTCCCGCCCCTGCCCTGCCTCATCAGTGGGCAGCCTCATCCACAACAAAATTCCTAAACTATATACCAGTTCTGATCTCCTTCCCTTAGGTTATATTTCTAACTGCTGGCTGAGTATCCTCTACCCTTCAGCATGTCCCAAGCTAGCATCTTTAGTTCTCTTTGGAATGTCTGCTCCTTCCTACGTTTTCCCCATGGTGCCGAGTAGTGTCCTGATTCACTGAATCACCCAGGGGCCCCCCAGTTTGGGGTTGTTTGTTTGTTTGAACTTACTTGAATGGTTCCAGAACTGCCCTGACCAATACAATAGCTACTGGCCACACACATCTACTTATATTGGAATTCAAATGGGCTAAAATAGAATACAATGAAAAATTCCGAGCCTCGGGTCCAGCAGGCACCCTGCAGACTCTCAGTAGCCACGTGAGGCGGGAGCAGCTGCAGAACATCACCAGTGTTACCAGAAGTCGTGGGGCGACGCGGGTCTAGGCTGTATTCTGCCATTTTTGCTCCCATCTCGCTGCGTTTGAACCTCCTCGTCTCTCTCGACTCACCCCCACCCCCGTTTCTTGCTCATTTCAGTTCATCCTCTTTTCTAATCAAATGATCTTTTTATAAGACCTTTTACTCCCTTTGAGAGTCATTAAGTTATAAACGAGAAATGCAGAGCTCTGGCATTTCAGTGTCGTGTCCTCCCTTGAACCTTTCCGAGTGCTCCCCCACCCTGCTCTACCCTGCCTCTGTTGCCCGTTCCTTTTCGTTGGCTTGGTGAACAGCGACTTGACCTCCAAGATTGAGGCCCAGCTTTCCCGCTGTGGCAAGGCAGAGGCAGTATTTCTTTTATACTTGGACGTTCCCGTTGATACCCCTTTTCAGGGCACATTCACATGGCAGTTAGACTCTAAGCCCCTAAAAAACAAAAATTTTATTTTCATACTCCATCATGTTTCCGATATATGCAAAAGATTGACTCTTTTTTTTTTTTTTTTTGAGAGCAAGAGCATGTGCGCATGAGGTGGGGGAGGGGCAGAGGAAGAGGGATAGAATTCTATGTAGGCATGGAGCCCGACCTGGGGCTCGGTCTCATCACCCTGCCATCACGATAGCCAAAATCGAGAGTCAGACACTTAACCGACTGAGCCATCCAGGCGCCCCTGCAACAGATTGACTTCAGGGCATCCTAGATGAGGACTGGCTACGTGCTCCCTTCTGGAGAAATGAGAAAATGGCCACTCAAATCACATCCTGTATTCTGTTGCCAAACTCCAGTTGAGAAAACCTGGAAAGGGTGATGAATGACCTTCCTACAGGTATCGGTTCCTAGTTTGGGGTAGTCGTGATTCCTGGCCACCCCCCCTGACTCTGAACCACATAGTTTGTAGAGACAAACATATATTTTTTAAATACAATATTTTCAGTAACAGATGGGTATATTATGTAATTACCCCAAACTCAGTGGCTTAAAACAACAGAAATGTGTTCTCTCACAGTTCTGGAGTCCACGCAATCCAGGTGTTGGCAGGGGAGCGCTTCCTCCAAGGGCTCTGGAGGAGAATCCTTTCTTGACTTTCCAGCTTCTGGTAGGTCCCGGAGGTCTTTGACTTGAGGCCAGTCTCAGCCCTCCATCTTTACTTGGCTTTTTTCTCTTTGCCTTTTTTTCCCCCCCTTAAATAATCTCTATGCCCAATATGGGGCTTGAACTCCCAACCCCAAGGTCAAGAGTCACACACTCCACCAACTAAGCCAGCCAGGTGCCTCACATACCTCTGTGTCTTAAATTTCCCTCTTCTTTTCTTTACGTAAGGATACAAGTCATTAGAGTTAGGACCCAGCCCAACCCGGGATGATCTCATCCTGAGATTCTTAATTTAATTTTATCTACAAAGACCATATTCCAAAATGAAGTCACATTCACAGGTACTGCGGGTTTAGAACTTGAACTTGTCTTTTGGTGGTGGGGTGGGGGGTGAAAAGGGTATGACACAACCTGCTGGAGGGAATAAGAATAGGAATGGAGACAATCATAGCTGAGTTTCTCCCCTCTCCCAATCTTCCCCGAAGCGGAATCAGCAAATTGGCTGTAGCCTTCATTTCTGTGCATTTATTCATTTAAATTAATTAAGACCCCTCCCCACCTCCAATCAAGAAAAGAGAGAAGGCTATTTAATCCAGCCAGCTGTCTGTCTTCATGACAAGCTCGCTCCACTCCCTTCAGACGGATTTTTTTCACAGCCTAACAATTATCATTAAATGATAAAGCGTAGACCAAAAATAAACATGTTTATCATTCTGTAGTTTTCAAAGGCATTCTCTAGGTCTAACACTTTTTAAACGAAAATGGTTATTTAGATTTAGAAATCGTCTTAAGCATGCATGTCTGTGCAAAAACAAGCCGTGGAAAGATCGGAAGAAAGAATGTTAGGTACCTTTTCTGTTTTTATTTTTCACTGCCATCTAAATTTTCCACAGTGGACGTGTTTTACTTGAGTGATGAGAAGAAGAAACGCCTTTCAATAACATGGGTAGTTTTAATGCAGTTTTTGTAAATTCCCCAGGACAATTTATATATATTTTTAAAAAAGGTCAGTGGGCCACTTGACATTCTAGGAACTGACCACGGATTGTTTTGTGAATGATTCAGATACTCTCTAGAATTTGGAGTGGTGTTAACATTATTAATTATTCAGGACCTCATCAGATTTTCACAGCAGGAGCAATGGAAATCCATGGTCACCATCAGGGAGGTTTCCTGGGTGTCAGGAAGCCAGCCTGACAGGAAATCAGGCGCTCCCCCTTTCCCATGCGCCCTAACGAGGCATCTGCGCTATGCCTCTTCTTGGTTTGTTGAGGACCAGTCCAGAATGAGCCCTGCCATCTCTCACCAGCAGTACCCTTTGGCTTTAACAAGCATGTGTTTTTCTGGTCTTTAAACTATTCTGCGGTCTGCCCTGTGTCTGGTGTGCGATGAGGATGACCCGCGTTCCCATCAACCCCCCGTTACTGGAAGCCACAGGAGAGCGTGAGGCACTTTTAGCTGTTACACTATTGAATGCATTTCGCTCTGAGAGAAATTTCCTATTTTGGCTTCTAAGATGTTGATGAATTATTGAAACTTCAATTACTTTTGGTTCCCAATTTAGCAGGATGGAGACATCCAAGATACTTAATATGAAAAGCTTTCCAGTCGCTTTTAGAGAAGGGTTTGGTGTCAAGGATGTGGGTGCATTCCTCCTATCTCTGGGACTAAAGTGCTGTGTGGCCCTGGGGTCCCTTAGGATTCAGGATGTGAGCCCCCCGCTGGGAGCATCTGCAGATCCTGGGAACCTATTAGAGATGCACATTCCACCTAAATCAGAGTCCCTGGGGATGGTGCCCTGGGCTCTGTGCTTTAACAAGCCTCCTGGACATACTAGGGCACTGACAAGTTTGGAAAGCCCTGACTTAGATGCCCCAGTGCTAATTCTTCCTGGCAGGACCTGGTGCCTATTTCTAAGGACCCACGGTGCTGTCATCAGTTTGCCCTTCAAGGTAGACGTACCTGATGATGAAACTGTGATTGAGGTCATCAGACCAATTTCTAACAATTATTTTCACTTACTTGGAACACGTCTCACTTTGGAAATCACCCAGCCATAACCACAGAGAAGAGACTTTGGGCCTTTAAATTGTGTGCAGGTAAATGTGTGTTCCAAATGTAATTCCAAGGGCCCGGTGTTTCTCTTTTCTGCAGAAAGACTGTTTAGATATTCCTTCCTGGGTAGATATTCCTTCCCGCTGTCCCCTGCGTAATCCCATCCTGAAGTCTCCTGGGGGGGAATGCTGCAGGGGCTTCTGTGTCTTGCCCTTGGTCTCCCCTCCTTGCCGGTGCACGTGGCTCTTCCACACCATGCAGTTCTTCAGATAGAGTGCGTCACCCTGATGCCTGTGCGCTCGTGCAAGGTGGTCTCCCACCCCAGCTTGTTCAGTGCCACCACCAGAGCCGGCCCCTCCTCATCCTGTCCATTGTGGTCTGGGCGCTCACAAGACTCTGTCCAAGCACCATCCCCTCCTTCCCGGTCGACTAGGGATGAAGGCACAGTCTCCCCTTTTCGCCTTCCTACCACACCCGAGGTGGATTCTTACAGCATTCACGTGCACTCGCACTGAAAATATTTGCTCTCTCTTCCTCCGAACTTTGAGCTCCAGGCGAGTGACAGTTTCATTCCGGGTTGTCCCTCTGAGGAGCCCAAGATGTTCAGGCCTGTGAGGCAGAATGAGTAAACATTCCTTAAAGATGGCCCTTTCACCTTGGCTGGGAGCTTTCAGAGCCTCGGAAAACATTTTTAGATCCTATTTGTGAAGAACAGATGATGGCCGGCCTGTGACAGGTCTAGTTAAGAATACGGCAGACTTTCATGTGGACTCAACCAAGTTAGTTTTAGTTAACTCTTCAGCGAAGCCTGGCTCTTCATGGAAATGATGACCCAGCCATCTGGCTATTTTGCTCATGGGCCAGGCAAGCCACCACCCGTGTCTAAAGTTTGCATTATTGTTTCAGGTTCGAGAGCTTCAAACACGACTACAGAGCGTGCAGGCCACGGGGCCCTCCAGCCCTGGCCGCCTCACTTCAGCCAACCGCCCAGTCAACCCCAGCACTGGGGAGCTGAGCACGAGCAGCAGCAGCAATGACATTCCCATTGCCAAGGTGAGTTCCAGGGGAGGGCGGGACCCCTGCTGTTTTATCTGGAATCCACACCAGCCTCTACCAAGCATGGCCATCGTGTGGGCATGGGATGAGCTCACAGAGCCCCGAGGAGTTTCCCTCGAGTCTCTCGCAGGCCTCCTATGCTAACTAACCCACTGGTGGTTTGGTCTGTCTTGACTATGATCTGGATGCCAACTCTCATTAATCAGCCAGCGGGAGCAGGTCACAGCTGACCAGTCGTAGTAGAAAGTGAGATGTTTTGTCAGATTGTACCATAGTAAGAGGTGGATGGACAGTTGCTCTTGAGGACTGAGATTCAGCCCAGGGAGGGACCCTGAGTAATGAACCAGTGGGCGCCCTTCTCATAGGACCACCAGCTCTGTCTGCAGACCAATAGGTTCTGTTGGGCAGGCCGTAGCCCTTAGAGAGCAGCCCCTTCCTGCACGTGTGCTGAGTGTGCCCCAGAGGGACTGTTCCCACAACACATGTGCTCTTCCCTGCTGGTCTGCTGGTCCCTGCAAGGTGGGTGGTTCTCAACCATCCAGTTAAATCAGTGGGGTCAAACCATTGTTCTCAACCAGAAGTGATTCTTGTCCTCCCCCCCCCCCCCCCCCCAAGGGATATTGGGCAACGTCTGGAGACATTTCTGATGGTCACTGCTAGAGTGCTAGTGGCATCTTGGGTCTAGAAGCCAAGGGTGCTTGGCTTCTGTTGTACAGAAGAGCCCTGTACAACAAAGAAAGTCCCACCCAAGCGGTCACAAGTGCTGAGGTTGGAAAACCCTGGGTGAAACAAATTGGTGGTAACATTGGGCAGGTGAGTTATTTTTAGGAAACTGATGAATCCGTTGAGTTGCCGTAGCTGAACAGTAGCCCTGTACATGCGCAGTCTCGAAGGTTTATCTGGAGAGTGAGGTGTCATTTTTTGACAATGTTTTGTTTTTCCAGATTGCTGAGAGGGTGAAGCTCTCGAAGACCAGGTCCGAGTCTTCGTCATCAGATCGGCCGGTCTTGGGATCAGAAATCAGTAGCATAGGGGTGAGTGTTCGCGAGAAGTGAGGCAAGAGAGTGCCCAGTAGGGCCACACAGATGGCAGAACTTCCCAGGTTCACCTCCTGTGAGCAAGTTAATTATAAAATAAATCATACCCCGTTTCCCTCCAGAGGATCAGATTAAAGGGTACGGTGGTTTCTTCATCCGGGAATTACTTCTTCAGCTATAAGAGAGTTCCTCTTTTTCTCTACCTGAAAACTGTCAGAAAGAGGTGATTTAGGTCTCATTACTGGTGATGGAGATGAAAGTCTTCAAGTACCTGCTTTACATCACCCCGGTCCCCCGAGACCAAGTGGGTCAGGGAGCTCTAAAAGAATCTTACCTTTTACACATGCCTCTTAAAAGGGAACGTGTTCTCCAGGGAGGATGACTGCTGCCTTTGAAGTGCAGCCCAGTGCTGGGAGAGACCGGAACGTTCTCGCTTAGTACCAGGGTTTCCATCTGGAGAGCCTACAGACCCCTTGGGGCCATAAGAGCTGATGGATGGTGAACAGGGAGTAGCTTTAGTTCCCTAAGGAATATTGTTTTAGGCTTGGGGATGAGGCTGAAAGAGCTAGCTGTTTGATCCCCAGGGGTGGGGAAAGCCTGAATAGTACTTTTAAAGCCCTGATTTAGAATTTTGCACTGAGAAAAATTGCCTGCATCAGATTCGGCGCCAGGGCCAAACTGTGAAAATAAAGGAGTTAGCTGCTCTCTTTGGCTGCAGCAACCAGAGACGGGGGCCCGGAGGCACAGGGGGCTCAGGAAGGTCAGGGGAGTCCAGGCTTTGTTCGATACCCCAAAACTGGAGAACTCTAAAGAGGCGTGCTCCTCCAGATCTGCTTGGCAAGACGAGCCTGGAGGATACAGCCACATTTTGATCCTGTTGTTGTACTATTTTCGCAGTAGTGAACTTTTTATCATAGAATCATGTTATACAGACAGAGAAAAATCAGGGTGGCCATCTTCGGGTGCCTGACTGTCGAGGACTATCAACTGTAAATTCTTCTGCATGCAAAGCGTGCCTGAGGACCGGTCCCTAAAGCGACCCTGTCTAGAGCGGGATTCGTGCCCACCACCCATGCAGGTATCCAGCAGCGTGGCGGAACACCTGGCCCACTCTCTTCAGGACTGCTCCAACATCCAGGAGATCTTCCAGACGCTCTACTCACACGGATCTGCCATCTCGGAAAGCAAAATTCGAGAGTTTGAGGTGGAAACGGAACGGTTGAATAGGTAAGGAGATATCCTGTATATTGGAGCGGTGGTGTTGTCGGGGGCGGGGCGCTGCCCTCCTTTGCCTTTCAAAGAGCAATTCAGGTTGGCTTATGAACTGTGACGCAGAGAGCTGCTGTCAGGCTGGTGGGTGGGGAGTTCCCACCTTCTTGTCCATCAGAAGGGTGCTTATGGCCCTCGGGGCTGGCTTCATGGGCGTTATGTGACCTGTGTCAAATGCATAGGCCTTGTGTTTGGAAGGATCCCACACTTGGCTTTACTGCTCTACTGTCACCATTTTGATTTCTTGTGGGGTGCCTGGGCGGGGCTCTGTTGATGAAGCATCTGCCTTCTGCTCCTGATCCTGGAGTCCTGAGATCGAGCCCAGTGTTGGGCTTCTCCCTCTCCCTCTGCAGCTACCCTTGTTGGTGTGCGCGCGCGCTCTCTCTCTCTCTCTCTCTCTCTGTCAAATAAATGAATAGAATCTTTTAAAAAATAAAAATGAATTCTTAATAATTTATGAAGCAGGGTTCCACCTTTTCATTTTGCACTGGGCCTTGCAAATCATGTAGCAAGTCTTGGGAGCTATTCATAATGAATGACAAGTAGGTCAGAAAGACAAGATGGCTACGAAGTGTGCAGGCCTGTGCTGCGCGGAACCACAGAGAGCAGCTCCGGAATGTTGAGTCAGCATCCCAAGGGCGCCTGGAGCTATCAGCAACCAGCAAAGGCGGTCTGATGGGTCTGATCGAGGCATTCCGGGATTGACCAGGCATGCTGGTCTAGCCCTCCCTGCTCCTCTGGAGGGTTGCTCAATCTTATTCATGTTCTTTGTGGATGTTTGCAACCCTCCGTCCCTACGTTCTATCCCACTTAGCCTTACTTAGAATCACTTTTTAAGTACCCCTAACTGTCCTACTTAGAAAATTTTTCCAGTTCGATGGATTCTTCCCAAATCTCACAACAGAGGTAGTTAAAGTTTGCACTCATGCCTCTTGGCAAAGACTGGCTTGTGGGTCATCCTTGTGATGAGAGTTGCTGAAAAAGCAAAGAAGGACCAGAGCCAAGTCCTGGTAAACCACTGACTCAGAGTGGGTTCCGCAGGGGCAGAGCACAGTACTGAATCCTATCCAAGTGTGGTGCGGCTGGCCTTGACCCACCAATCTTCAGTGGGAGAGCATAGTCAGAATTTGAAAGGCTTGTGAACTAACCAGAAAGAAATGCAGATGCCAGTCCCCCTCCACTGTTGCTTAATGCCTTTCCCCTGGTGTCTGGCAAACCTGAATAAATTAAATTATCATACTAGTCCTCCCTGATTTGATGCTGTTTAATATAGTGCTTGAGGACTAAGGAAATGCAGCAATCTAGGTCATTTTAAATCTGGAAATTAAATGGTTTCCTTATTAAATCCAAAATACTTAAGAGTGACAATCCTGATGATTACCTTGTAGCAGTAAAGAAGCTGCCCTCTCAGTGCGGCTGGGAGTGCTTAAGAATTGAATCAAATATGCCCTTTGCAATTTAATGAAGTCGGATGCCTTCAGGGGCCCTCTGTGAGTGAGGATCTCCTCTCCACAGATTCTGGGACTTAACAAGCCTGCTTTGTGGTTGAACTTGGGGGTGGTTCCTTTCTCCTTCGTCCGTCCGTGCACCTAGGAGACACCAAAGAAAGGGGAAGCATTTGGTGCTCTGGTGTCTCACAGTTTACAGAGGCTTCTCACAATCACTTCATCTTCAGCTTGGGAGGGCAGAACAGTCCCATTTTGTAAATGAGAAAACAAAGGCTTCCATGTTGAGCGACTTGCCTTGAGTCCAGAGCTGTTAAATAGCCCAGCTGGAATTCTTCCCCTACCCCCCTTACCCCCACCCCCAACCTTGCACTTCCCCTCCAGTGTCTTCCCTATGACCATAGCTACAACTAGATGCAGGAATAACCTTAGAAATAGTCTACCAGTATGCCCTCATGTCTGTTATTAAACTACGTAACCTCGAAGTCAGGGGCCCTATTACACCCACCAAAATGAGAGCCCTTAACTTTGTGATTGCGTGTGGGGTAGAAGTGTTTCCTGACTTAACAAATCTGTTCTAAGCACCCACTCGGTGTTAAGCTATTTGTCATGCAAAGGAGAATGAGACAGACAAGGTCCCTGCTCTCATGGAGCTTCTGTTCTATTCTGGGAGCTGGACAAGAAGAAAACAAAAGGAGATCATAAGAAAACTCCTAGTAAACAGGGCAGTGTGATAGAGCAGGGGCAGGGGTGTTGATTTTTAAGTAGGCTCCACGTCCAGCAGGGAGCCCGGCACAGGCTGGAGATCAGACACTCAGCCAAAGGAAACACCCAGGTGCCCCCAGGTGGCTGTTGATTTTAGATGGGTAGCCAGGGAAGCCATCTCTGAAGAGGCAGCTTTAAGTTGCGATTTTAAGGGGGAAAAGGAAGCATCCATATGACAAACTGAGATTCTTACAGAGCAATTAACAGCCTTAAGGTGGAAAAGGAGGTTGACATGAGGTAGGATCTGTCCACAGCCCGATGAAACTGAAATAGAGTGAATGAGAAGTCACACACAGTAAGGGGGCAGAGTTGGCAGGGTGTGGTAGGCATGAATTTTGAGGCTGTGGACCAAATTTGCTGTTTATTTTGTCACTGGAAGTCATTAAAGGGTTTGTTTGTTTATATAGCAGAAGAACAGTTTCAGTTTAAATTCTGAGAGCTGACTCAGGTGTAAAGAATGGAAGGAGGACAAGAGTAAAATGCAGAGCAATGAGTGCAGTGGCCCAGTGTGGCCAAGGTGGAGGTGATGGGAGGAAATGCCGGACAGTGGGTTTGGTGGTAGAATCAGTGCAAACTTCAGCTGGATTAGATCAGGATGTAAGAAGAAGGGATGGTCTCGAAGATTCTCACATGTCTCTCCAGTATTATTGGGTGGATGGTGGTAGCATTTACTGAGATGGAGAAGATAGAGGAGGACAGGATTTGGGTAAAATCCAGAGTCTCATTTGGTAATGTTAAGTTTGAGGTGCCCTTGTGATATCCACATGGAAATCTCAGGAAGCAGTTGGAGATGCGAGACAGGCACTCAGAAGAGCTCTCTGGGCCAAAGAAATTTGGGATCCAGAGGAACATAAATGTCTATTAAAGTCATGAGACTAGATAAAATCACTCTGGGGAGCAGGGGGAGTACTGACAGAGGAGGGCAGCCAGGACTGAGTCCCGAGGGAATGCCAACCCCCACAGATTTCAGAGAGAATAAAGAACAAACAAAGGAGACCGAAGAAATGACCTTTCAGGCAGGAAGAAATCCAAAAGGGACCTATCATGCCCCAAGTGAGAGAGAACAACTTTCAGAAGGAAGGAGTAGCCTGTTAGTGGGGTGTTGCCTGAGAAGGCTCCTAAGACGGGATTGGTCACATGGAGGTCTGTGAGCTAGCTAAAGAGTTTCACCTTCTTAGTAGGGACTGTTTCAAGACATCTTCGTGTCAACAAGAACACAGAAGTATGTTCTTGTAAAACCTTACATTGAATTAAGCTTGGAGTTGCCAAAACCTCTCAGTGGTTTGAACTACATGCTCACCAGATATCTCCTATGTTGGAGTGGGAATGTCTCCACGATCTGCTCTAAGATACGTGGTCCTAAGATTGATCCCCCCAAGGCAAATGGCTTGTAAACCCCTTACCATTTCAGGAGTCACTTGGATTGTGTATGTATGAAACCCTCTGTGTCTTTAAGACTTGGTGGTTAGAGTACTATAAATGAGTGTGTCCGTGGGAAATGAATTATTGCATCCAGAGCCTCCGTCCCAGGACAGAAAGCAGAGAAGCTGAAGGCTTATGTTTTTCTAACTTTGCAGTAAACTCATTTGCTCTGGATTTATAGTCCTGATTCCTATAAATTGTGAGGTTCCTGCTGCCTGTCCTACCAGCAGTTAGCAACTGTGGGACCGTCCAACCTGGAAGGAGTTTTGGGCACAATCCTCAGTTCCTGGTCCACTGCCCATTCAGAGGCCCTTAGGGACAGTTTCTTACTCCCTGATTCATCTGTTGCTTCTGCTCTGTAGTGAGCGGCTAAGAGTACAGGATCTGAGGTCAAATTGCCTGGTTCAAATCCCTGGGCAAGGCACTCAGCACCTCTGTGCCTGTCCTTGCTCCTCTGAGAATGAGGATAATCATACTTCATCCAAAGAGCCATGGTGGGTTATTAAGCATGGGTTTTAACAGGTAGTAGCCCTTCCTGAGGGCTTGAGGTCACATGGTTCGCTCCTTTCCCTGGTGGGTCCTCAGCACCTCACACGGTACCCAGCACACGCTCTGTCCCAGGCTGGGTGGGAAATAACCTGGGGGCATGTGTGTATTTCTTAGTTCACACAGAATTTAGCGGTTCTCGTGCTTAAAGTTGCTCCCTTTGTTACTCACATCAGTTACATTTGCTAAAACCGCTGACAAGCTCACATCCTAACAGGCGTGTCTGGCCTGGATCTCACTTAGACGACTCAAATACTGGCAGATGAATTGTAATCCTACTGTGAAGTCATGGAAGATTTTTCTCCCTTTGTAGCCGCATCGAACACCTCAAATCCCAAAATGACCTCCTAACCATAACCCTGGAAGAATGCAAAAGCAACGCGGAGAGGATGAGCATGCTGGTGGGAAAGTACGAATCCAACGCCACCGCGCTGAGGCTGGCCCTGCAGTACAGGTAAGCAAATGTCGGCCGGGCGTGCGTGTGCGCATGCGTGCGCGGCAGTGTGTGCGCGCATGCGTGCATGCGCGGGGCCGGGGTGGCGTTTTAAATTAGAAATGCAGGGACGCCTGGGTGGCTCAGTTGGTTAAGCGGCTGCCTTCGGCTCAGGTCATGATCCCAGCGTCCTGGGATCGAGTCCCACATAGGGCTCCTTGCTTGGCGGGGAGCCTGCTTCTCCCTCTGCCTCTGCCTGCCTCTCTGTCTGCCTGTGCTTGCTCACTCTCTCTCCCTCTGTCTCTGGCAAATAAATAAATAAAATCTTTAAAAAAAAAATAAAATAAAATAAAATAAAATAAATAAATAAATTAGAAATGCATCCGTGGTAACTTGCCTCAAAGTGTGGAAACCAGGGTTTTAGAACGCATACGGGGGAGGGGGGGTTGGACAAGCAAACATAGTGTGGTACATACTGACAATCCATTAGACCTTGTGGCAGTTAACAAAATAAGAATAATGAGTATGGTGTGGGAACACTGGTATGTCTCTGCGAACAGTTGAACTTGAATATTATTGAAGTAATATCACTCAGAGTATTTATTTTCATATTTGTAAACCCATTTGTTGCCTTTTCCGGTCTTTTTTCATTGTCCTATGTATTTTACATGGTTATAAATCCGGGACATTCTGTTTCTTCAGTTTATGGTAGTTTTGTAATGTTGTTTCATAGTGTAGGGTGCAGTTTGGATGGCTGTGTCCCCCGCCTCAAGTTTATATATTGTTGTTTTATTTACTCATTTCTCTAAAAGACATTTAGACTTTTGCTGACTTAGGATATTAAAAACAATTTTATGGTGAATAATTTAATATGGATAATGCCTTCATTCTTTTGAATATTTTCCTTAGAAGAAAATCTCCAAAGGAGGAATTACAGCTCAAAGGATATGAATATTTTTGTGGCTCTTCAGGCACACGTGCAGTTTTTTCCCACAAAAGCAAGCCAGTTTAAATGACTGCCGTTCATCCACTGACGAGCAAGCAGTATATGAGTGTACCATTTTTTTCAGTCTCATCAGCTTTGGAATTTCTCTGTTTTCAAGTGACAGTTTGTTTCAGAGTGACAAAGCTATGCATTATTGTTTTCAGGGGTTTATTAGTGGCTCGCTTTAGGCATATTTGCCAAGATCCAGAGTAATGACTGTACCTTACTCTTAGCGTCCTCTGAAAAGATCAATATGTTTTAAGAGACTTTGTTTCTTCACAAAACAAAATCAAACTCCAAAAGCTTTGAGACCAGGGGCGCCTGGGTGGCTCAGTCCGTTAAACATCTGACTCTTGATCTCAGCTGAGGTCTTGATCTCAGGGTCGTGAGTTCAGTCCCATGTTGGGCCATACGCTGGGAGTGAAGCCTACTTAAAAAAAACAAAACACATGAGACCAAAGCTAGAGTGCAATCATGCTAGTTTACAGACACACCAAAGCAAGCAGATAATCCACCTATGATAACTCTGAAACAGGCTGTCCTGCAGTCTGCATTTGATCTGTGTGGATGAAGCAATGTCGCCGTGTGTCTAACCTGAAAGATGGACTACCCTTGAAAGGAGGGGCTGCCAGCACCCGGGGCTAGTGATGGGGCTCTTTTCCTTATCTCTCAGTGAAAGAAGATGAAAGTGAGACAGTCAACAAACAGATGGTCTGTTGACTAAGTGTTGAGTAAAGCAAGATTTCCCCGCTTAGCTTAGAGAAGCTAATCGGTTATTTGCTTAGCAGGGAAATTTCTGCTCAGCAGGCATCTTGTCCTGGGCTACTCAGGCATTACACACATGCTCCACTTCCTGTGCGGACATGGGTCCCTGTGGGTCATATGTGGCCATGGGAAGGGGTCCCTCTGAGATCCTATAACTGGTGTGTCCAATGATGACAGGCACAAAGAAGGGAGACTGATTTCTTCCTCTTAGAAATCCTCGTTTGTCAGATTTCATACATGTTTCAAGGGGTAATTTTACACGCATCTAATAGAACTTTCTGTGATGATGGACCTATTATTTATCTGTGCTGTAGTATGGTAACTGCTAGCCATGTGTGGCGCAAAAACATTCGCTATATGGCTATCGCCACAGAGGAACTGAATTTTTCATTTTACTTAAATTCTTTTAACTTCAAATAGCCACATGTGGCTAGTTGCTACTGCAGGTCTAGGTCAAAATAGTCTTCTTTCTGGGGCTTTCCCTGCCTCCCTCCCTCATTCCTTTCTTCTCTTCTTTCCTCCTTCTCTCTCTCTCCTTCTTTCTCCTTTCTTTCTACCAATGATTATGTAACTATTTCTTGTGGCACAGTTTCTTGGGTCAGGAAGCTGGGAGTGACCCCTCTAGGTAGCGTTCCAGCTCAGAGTCTCTTAGGAAGCCTGCTTGAGCAGTCAGCCGGGGCTATGTCATCTAAAACCTTAACTGGAGCTGGAGGATGTGCTTCTGGGAAGGCTCGTTCACACAGCTGTTTGGTGGAGTCCTTCACTCACCGTTGGCTGGAAGCCTTAGCTCCTGACCACATGGGTCTCTCTGTGGGGCTGCTCGAGAGTCTTCAAGAAATGGCAGCTGGCCTTTTCTAGAGAGGATGATCCAAGAGAGAAAGTGAAGGGAGAGAGTGACCAAGATGGAAGTCACCATGCTTTTAAATAACTTCATCTTGGAAGTGATATTCCATATCCTCTTAGTCCCATAGACTAATTCTGGTACAGTGCAGAAGAAGACAACACAAGGGTGTGGACACTAGCATATGGGATCAGTGGGGGCCATCCTGGAGGCTGGCTACGACAGGCATAATACCTTTCCTGTTTAGCCGATCGTTAAAGAAGCAGTAGACTTATTTCTTCAGCTTCTTTTTTTTTTTTTTTGAAGATTTTATTTGTCTTTTGGACAGAGATACAGTAGGAGAGGGAACACAAGCAAGGATCATGGGAGAGGGAGAAACAGGCATCCCACTGAGCAGGGAGCGCGATGCGGGACTTGATCCCAGGACCCTGAGATCATGACCTGAGCGGAAGGCAGATGCTTAACAACGACGAGACACCCAGGCGCCCCAACTCTCCCACTTTTATTGCTTCTCTTGTATTTTTCTAGGTCTTAGTTCATTGATCTATTTATTTTTAGAGAGAGAGCATGAGCCCATGGGTGCGAGTGGGGGTGGGGAGTGGCAGAAGGAGAGGGAGAGAATCCCAAGCAAGCTCCACACGGGGCTGCATCTCACCACGCTGAGATCACAACCTGAACTAAAGTCAAGAGTTGGATGCTTATCTGATTGAACCATCCAGGTGCCCCTAGACCCTAGTTTAAACCAAAAGTTTAAGTTAAATAAAAGGGGAGGGGTGGGCAAAGAGCAGAGAAGCAAGCCCCTGGCTTTATACAGGAATATTTGCAGGTGTTTCTTTGCTTCCATGGACAGCGAGGCCGAGAAGCAGGTCTGGATCTGCTTCCCCGGGGGACAGTGCAGCCCTGAGGAGGCTCCCGGTCCTCTGCCAGAGCTGAGGATGCTGTGTGTTTCTGTTCCAGTGAGCAGTGCATCGAAGCCTACGAACTCCTCCTGGCACTGGCGGAGAGCGAGCAGAGCCTCATCCTGGGGCAGTTCCGGGCGGCCGGCGTGGGGTCCTCCCCTGGTGAGTGTGGCCCAAGTTCCTCCCTCCTTCTGCCTCCTTGTTCCCTGCCTCCTGGGCTCTGTGGTGCCCCCATTTCGCTGTTGGTATTGGAACACCTCCCAATGACATGAAATTCGCTTGTCAAGTGTGTTTTTCGTTGTTTCCTCATGACTGAGTGAGTAAATTGTTTATGTTGAATGAGGCAAGAACTGGAGTGGAAACAGAATTACAGGCAAGTTAAAACAATCAAGCCCTCTTAGGAAACATACTCTCCCAGGCCAACAGTAGGACCAGATGGAGCAGGAGGCCCCCAGTTTGTGATGAAAGGGACATCCTCTCTCTGGGATGCTGACTGTTAAGGGTCCCTTTGCTGCCCACTTAGCCTTCGCTGAGATGCGCCGCTTCTGTTGGCTGTGCTTCTGGGTGGTGTTGAGGCATGGGCTCCCCCTCCCAGGTCTCCAGGTGCCTCTTGAACACAGAGGAAATGGTTTCTCACCCTGGTGTCCACTTCAGAGGGCTCTCCCTGGGGCACAGAGCTCAGCCCTGTGGGCGAACAGAGGGGTGAGCCAACCCGCTTGCCTCCCACTGGGCAATGGCTGGGAGCCTCCCCTGGGGCCGCCCTTCCAGGATGCACCTTGCAAAGAGGGTTGGCATGGGGGCCCCAGAGTGCATCTGCATCCCTACCCCATTGTTCTCACCAGCTCCTCCCCCTCACCTGGGGTCTAGCTTGGGCACTGAACACTCACAGGTTTTTCCTCCTTCAGTTTTGACCTGGACAGGAATATGAAGCAAATCTGAAGGAAAGGAAGTATCCCAGGCATTAATTTCCTGCTTCATATCTAAGATATGAGGCAAGGGAGCAGGCCTCCATTTGTGTGGGTGACCACCCTCCTACCTCCCCCCCTTTTTTAAGAGTATTAATATCCCAGCCCAGATGTAGAAACTCTGCCAGCATTTCCATTAGAACCCTCATTTTTCAGGGTCTTTTCACTAAACCATAAAACTTTATACCTCATATTAAACAGATCCTAAAATGATCTTGGCCTGCTGTCAAGTTTTTTTTTTTTTCTTTTAAATATCTGTATTAAAGAAGATGAACAATTAAAGGGGAAAAAAAATCAATCCTCTTATTTCCAGTTTGTATGATCAGAAGATGCCTTTAAACCATCCTGTCCTGGAAAGGTACCTTTTATTAGGCTTCTCTCTACTTGGCACAGTTACTCGGTAGGAGCTGGAAGGGCTTATATGAATCTGCATTTAAAATATGTAAAATCAATAATGAAATGCTTTGTATTAACATAATCCCGGGTAGCTCATGATATATTTATCAAACGAGCCAGTCAGTAATATCATGACTGCTTCAAAACAGAATTCAAAGAGCAGTCAGTTGGTAAGATGGATACAAACTAGCTCATTTGTGGAAGGAAGGAAGGAAGGCATGAAAGTTGTCAGAGACATGGCCCCGGGGGCGGGGGGTTGGGGGGCGGTGGTCCAGGAAAGCTCAGCCTGCAGGACGGGGACACCCACGCTTCTTCCCCACTCTCCATAAAGCTGTGAGTTGGCTTACCTGGGGCAGTTCCTTATGACCTCTCCCTTCCATTCTGCTGACGGCAGCTGTGGACCCACCATTCTGCTCTAATGGGCCATAGAGGCGCCCGGCCGGGCAAGGACTAGCTGATGACATTGCCACCAGTACCAGCCCCTGTGGTTATTTCGGTTTCTTGTCGATGACACAAGCATTCATTACGTTCATTCTAGATGAGTTAGACCAGCGGTTTTCAAACTGTGTCCGGGGAGGCTGGAGGAGTGTCTTGGGGCCTCAGCAGTGGGTTCGGAGGATGGGAGGGAAACCAGAATGTAGGACCCCCACGCCTGTTCACGTCACCCAGTTCTGCATTTACCATTTTGGTGCCTTGGGCTTTGGCATATGATTTCATTTGAAAGTACTTGGAAGACTAGGGATCTAGGCTGAAGAGGTAGCGAACTGGTGACCTGTTGGGCCAGGATGGTTTTGGAAACACAACAAGAACATGAACATCTTTGGCTGGGAAGTCGCTGTCTGGCCCTGTGTGGGTGCCTGCCATTCCTGAGGTCTTGCTCCAGCCCAGGGACCTGACTCCTGGAGGCGTCAGGGCTCGCCACGAACCATGCTCCAGCAGAGACAGCAGAGTCAGGGACAGCAGTGGTAGAGAAAATACACTGCTGATCTCAGGTGCTCATCTTAACTCTTCAGTGTTTCTCTTGCTTATCCAAAGCTCGATGCAAAGCTCTGGATGTGTGCAAGGCACAGTTTGGGCTTCATTCATGAGAAAGTGCCACCACAGGAAAGAATGGCCACGTGATAAATTGCAGCTGAATGGGAGAACTCAGGAGCCTGGATCCTTAGAAAATCACAGCATGTTAGAGCAAGAGACAGGCCTCAGAGATCACGCTGGCCAGCCCTTCATCGATAGGGACAGCAGAGCCCAGGGCAGAGACGTGCCTTGCTATGTGCAGTCTCTAAGGGACAGCGCCCGGCCCTGCCCGTGTGTCTCTTCACTGGCCATCCCCTGCTCGTTTCTCCCCCAGGCCACCTCTACCCAAGTAACCAAAATCTGATGATCTGAACCGTGCTCCCAGGCCTGTCTCATGTACAAGTGTGTGGATTAATCCTTTGGCCTCTTTGTAACGTAGGAGACCAGTCAGGGGATGAGAACATCACTCAGATGCTCAAGCGTGCTCACGACTGCCGGAAGACAGCTGAGAATGCGGCCAAGGCCCTGCTCATGAAGCTGGACGGCAGCTGCGGGGGCGCATTTGCCGTGGCCGGCTGCAGTGTGCAACCCTGGGAGAGCCTCTCCTCCAACAGCCACACCAGGTAACTCTCGGCCCTTCTACTACTGGACAGACGTGTGTGCGTCTGTGCTCTACTCACTGGGCCGGACATGTGGGGACCCAGCTCTCAGACTGTGAGGCTTGGATGAGGTCAGAGGTGTCCCCATGCTGGCAGCCTGGTCCACCCGGGGAATCGGGGTTCAGCATGGGAGAGCTGGGAAGGGCCTTCCGTGGCCAGTGTGGGGACCACAGCCCAGAGAGAAGGGATGTTTGCACAAGAAGGTGGAACCTGAAGGTGGAACCCAAGCCTCCCTTTCTGTCTGGTGCGCTCACTCCCATTTTATTCCGTTCTCCTTTTCTTCATAGTTCTTGATTTCCGAGAGCATCTGGGGTAGCATAAGGCCCATTTGCTGCAAACAGTCGCTAAGCATCCACGACCCAAGCTGCGTCCGATTTCTGGGCTCCATTCCGTCCCCTCTTCTCCTCGGGCCTCTGTCCTTCATAAGCTCTTCTAGGGCAATAGCCTCCTCCTCTCCCATCTCTTTTGCTCTGCAGCGTGATGCCAAATTCAGAGCAGGTCATCAGCGGACACTCAGCAACGAGCCTGAGTTCAGGTTCAGTGTCTGTGAATCTAGAACACTGAAGTGGGTACATGAAAAAGTTGGGGAGGAAAGCAGCGAAGACCTGGCTGAGCATACTTTGTGGAAGCCACTGGATTTTTCCATAAGGGGGTAGAGGGTCAGAATGAAGCCTTTGCTAGCCATCTTCTCATGTCTTACCACCCAAGCCCTATGAACACCTTCCCTTTTTGTATCAGTTCCAGGTCTAGAAACTACTTTCTTACAGATTCTCCTGTGGTAGCCAAATCATAAGACACAGGGAGGTGACTTACCCCGTTCGCACAGGGGAGAGAGCCTGGGCTCAGAGATCTGTAAGTGACTTGGCTAAGTAAGGTCTCACGGCTGACAGAGGCAAGATGGGACTGAGCCCCAGCACTACGGTACCAACATATTACTCTTGCCACTACGCCAGGCTGCGTATCACGACATTAAAAAAACAGGGTTCACTTGCCGACCAAGTGACAAGAACCTCAGAAGGCTGGATGGGATCTCAGGAGCCAAAGGGTTTCGAAATACTGGCGTTTCCTTGGTGCCTGAAAGCAACTTAACGTTCCTGTCTCTCCTCCCACTGGCAGGACCCAGCCATCTGGCTCAGTGCCTCCATGTATCTGCCCCAGCCCCGGGGCCTCGGGAGAGGGGCTGCTCCCAACAACGGAGCTGGCCAGGTGCTCACAGGCTCCAGGGAGCCTGTCGCTTTTGACTCCGGCGCCCCAGTCATCTTATTCAATGAAACAGATTATAATTTATTTTTGTCTTAAAAACCACATTCTTCTGCTGAACACAGAAAGCAGATGCTCTCCTTAATGGCTTTTCCAGATGTGTCTGATCTATAATTTCCTCGTTCATTCAGAGTAGAAACATAGTCTCCGGGCTGTCAGTGATGCTGTTCTGTTGAATCCATGAACACGAGAAGCCGATCGACGGGGAATATGTGCTGTTTCAGTAGCTTCGAAGGGGCGTGTTACACATCCTTTGCTCCCCACTCCCAAAATAATTTCGTTTTAATCCAGATCAGAGACAAATTTGGAGACAAAAGTCAGAACCCTCACCATCCTTTTAGGGGAGATCCTCGTTTTGAATGTTTGCTAGAAATACTTTAATATACAGGTGAGCCTTGATTCTGAGACAGTTTTCTTAGAGAAATTTAATTTTTGGTGATATCTTAACACAGGCTGAGATCAATTCAGGACAGGGTCTTTCTTTCTTTTTTTTTTTTTTTTAAGATTTTTATTTATTTATTTGACAGAGATCACAAGTAGGCAGAGAGGCAGGCAGAGAGAGAGAGGGGGAAGCAGGCTCCCTGCCAAGCAGAGAGCCTGATGCGGGGCTCGATCCCAGGACCCTGGGATCATGACCTGAGCCGAAGGCAGAGGCTTTAACCACTGAGCCACCCAGGTGCCCCCATGGTCTTTATTTTTTAAGGATGCTCTCAGCCTCAAATGGGTCTTCCATCAAAGTACAGTGGACTCTAATTCAGATTTCACTCTCTCGTCCTTAAAAATTCACTTTCACCCTCCTACCCGAGTCCGAGCAGCCAGGGTGGGCCCAGAAGAACCACATGCAGCCCACTGGTGTGGCATTCCACATTTTCTCGTCCTGACGCAACCAGAATATTTTTATGCGACCCGTGGGCTCTGAGAAAACGTCCCAAACCACCAACCCTTCTCATAATTATAATGACTAATTTTGTTTGTAAATCTTGCCATTCCAGCTCAGACATGCCCCCATGTCAAGTTTAGAGGGAGAAAGAGATGGAGTTTTCTGTGTCGGAGCTCTGTCTGGCTCCGTAGCCCCCTTTTCCTCCCACGGTCACCGACTGGCCTGGAGAATCCTAATCAGAGTGTCGGTCAGCTGTTCCTCAAGGTCTCAGGAAAGGAATGCCAAGTGTCAGGTCTCCAGATGCCTTTCCGGCAGCAGACGAACGGCTCCTGATGACAGGAGGGTCGTGGTTTGGGAAAGGAACAGCAGCAGAGTAGTTACCAGCGAGGAGAATAAAAATGGTAGCCAGCCCGTCAGCTGACGGTTGGCAGGAGCCTAGAGACACTGCTGTTTAGCTTTTGAAAAATTCAGTCCTAGCCTCATCAGCAGTTACAATAGACTTAATGGACTGAGGAACTAGGTAATGTTGATGGCCTGGATAGCTTTCTCAGCATCTCACAACAGAGGGGCCAGGGGACTAAATTGTTGAGATGGGAATAGGGAATCCTTAGTCAAGCCCACCCTTCCTGTCAAGCATCACAATTTCAGTTCATTCCATGGAAGCACAGTCATCGATCTCAGTCTACAGAAGGACATGTGGCCAAGACAGAATAAGCCTCAGCAGATCTGTCCTAATGGAGACTAGAGCTGCGTCCCTTCTGTACCACTGTTGGGTGGGGATCACGGTGAGCCATGGGAGTCTGGGCACCGCAGCTTCTCTGGGGAGCGGCCGGGCACCTTCCAGGTATCAGGGTTCCACCCGGCTGACCATTCACCCCCAAGATGGAGTAAGGGCAGTGGAACTCAAGATGCCCACTGTTCACATTCTAAGCTTGTTGTCTTAAGTGAGGTCTCACCAGAGCAGAAAGGAGGGTTGATGACAGTGGAACCCTGTCCTTTGAAAGGATGGATGGGATTAGAATGGGCAGCCCATTAGGAAAAGCCTGGGCCACCGCCATCAGCAAGCTTCTGGGAGTGAGAGACCAGATCTGGCTGTTGTAACTGTAATTGTTCTCATCCCTGTGAAGAAAGGAGTTGCTTTCTCATCCCAGCTATCAGGAGAATCCATCCACGGTCCTTGGGATTAAAGTTTAGAGGTGCTAGTACATTCTGAAGCCCAGCTCAGACACATTCCTCAACACGACAGCATGGTGCTAAGGCCTGCTGCTCAAATGGCCTTGTCATTTATCTTTTAGGCTCTATGAAGACTAGGTAGAGACCTGAAATGTGTTTTTTAAGGATTTTATTTATTTGAGAGAGAGAGCGCACGAGCCGGGGGGAGAGGCAGAGGGAGAGGGAGAAGCAGGCTCTCCACTGAGTAGGGAGCCCGATGTGGGGCTTGAACCCAGGACCCTGGGATCATGACCTGAGCCAAAGGCAGACGCTTAACCAACTTAGCCACCCAGATGTCCCAGAATTGCATGAGCATTGTAAAAGTAAATTAAAATCCAAGCATTATATGAAATTCTCCATAGGACGACTCTCACTGGAAAGGACACTATAAACAGTTCAGGGTGTATTTCCACACTTTTACCTGTCCACTTTTTCCTTTGTTAAGACCTTTGGCTGAAAATGACAGAATCATATTCTGTCATAAACGGGGCCTTGTTAGAAGGCCATTCCACACACAGGAGCTACCCACATCCAACCCATGCTCCCCACACATGGCCTTCATCTTCCTGCTGCAGGCAGGCACCCCAGATGACAGAAAACCAGCACAACTCCTGCATATGTACTAAGGCTGACTGGTTTCACTGATGTCAAGTAAAAAAAAAAAATTCAAGCTGGGACATCTTGCCCCAGGGCTCAAGTCCTCCTCCTCCCCCTACCCCCTACCCGTCCTCGGTGGCCATGGCAGTTCCCACAGGAGCCACACAGGTAAGAAGAGAGGAGGTGGGTCCCAGGAGAAAATGGAAGATGGGAATCTTCCACCAGCAGGCCAAAGCACAGCATCTTTAAAAATATGATTATATATAATTTTTAATCTGAGAATCCTATTATGTGGACTCTCTTGAAATTTGTTTTTCCCCTTAGTATTAAATTTTTTTTTCCATGTGACATTCGTGTCTGTCAGTAGCTTCCCACTCTCACACTGGAGGGCAGTCCTTCATGTATCCAAACAGCTTCTTCTCACTGGACATTCCTACCCAGCTTTTCACTATTAACCATTAGAGCCACCGTCCTGGACCCCACGCCTGTCCCTCTTGTGCAATTTCAGTGGGAAACTCAAAGAAACATAATTTGCTGGCCCAAAAATGATGGTTTCCAAGGTCAGAGAGCCTCCATACATGATGACGTTTTTCTCCTCTTCCTCCAAACCCTTGCTAAAACTGGGTAGCATAGATTTTTTCGATTTTGCTGATCTCTGGGCAAAAAAATACCCTTAATACTTTCCTTTCTGTCTCCTAATTATTAGCAATGTTGAAAATCATTATAATGTTTAATTTTTCTAATGTCCGGGAAATTGTTAGGCACAGTGTAGCTGTGAGGCCCAGATAGTGTCTATCTTGGTGTGTTACCAGTGACTGAATGAGGGAAAGGTTAATGTTTGGTTGAGAGAAGTCTCATTTCCAACATTGTTATAAGGACATCTTTACAAATGGCTATGGAAATAGAATCTGTTTCTCGTTTGGACTTCCACTGACAGCTAAGTTCTTGGGAGCTTTCTGGAATGAGGCAGGTTTTGAGAACTTCGGTTTTCTGGCACCAGATTTCCCCTGTATTT